TGTCTGGATGTCTTATATGATGGTGAGCGATTAAGAACTTTTGAAGAGGAGACAAAGAATTCCCATGAGTTGTGGTGTTTCGTAGTAAACTACAGTTCTCGAAGTTTCTTTTCTCTGGATTCCCTTTCCATCAGATTTTGTATGCTTCAGAAACTTTCACTTCGACAACAATTATGGGGGAGAAGACTTTTTGGAATCTTCAATATATGTATATGCAGAATTTATAGAAAGCAAGAGGAAATTAAACCAAAGTCATTGGTGAAAAACGATTTCAGATGTTGAACTCAAAGCGGAGAAAAGCAAAGTCATTCAACAAAGAGACAAAGTCAAAGCTAAACCCTGATAGAAGGATTTGGATACGGAAGCCTTGGTATCCAATTGTAGAAACAAAACTTCATACAACGGAAGCATTGGGTTTTATGATGTTGTGTATAATTACAAGGTTTAGTCAAGAGTTACTAACCAAACACACAATTTTCATCGAAAAAAGAAAGAATACGGAAAAGAAAAATAATGGACTTAATCATCCATTAGCGATTAAGACTTTACTTTGTAAAGCATCGTCAATTTCACTTTTCATGTTATGTCATTCTTAATATATGGCGCATATATTTGCATATGTAATAATTTGTCTTCCGGAAGTTTTGTATATTGACTTTGTAATCAATATTTTGTATATTGTTTTTGTAACCGTATTTTATATAATGAAATTGTTTTGCCGAAAACAAAAAAGTTACGTTTGACCACATCGTAATGAACGGGATTTCATCGTTATATATAATACAATGCAAAGTTCTCAATGAACATTATTACCATAAAAATATAACCAAAAATATTAAGTTATATGGTAATAATATTTAGTTCATTGTATAGAGTTGTATGTTATGGACGGAATGATATGTGGATTATATACATCGATACGTGTGATATTTATGATATGGATATTTAGATTTTAATATAGCAAATTAAAATGCAAATTTATTAAAGTAAATCTATCGTATAGAAAGCATAATTGTTGACAGTTTTACAGATGTTAAGTAATCAAAGCCCATCACATTTTTGACCAACTCTTTGTTATATTATAATGAAAGCCCAAAACTTTATCAATTATATAGAGCAAAATAATGGTATGTCCAATAAACTGATGAATTAATTAAATATAAATGAAAATGTATATATAAATGGGTCAAATTCGTTCACAATTTTAAAAATGATACACAATCAAAGCCCACCACCTTAGCAATTATAGAGTGTAAATCATTGCAATGGCCCAAAAAATCGAATTGTTAAGAAAATTGCAAATTTAAGTGTTGACAAAGTATGTCTTTTTTTGGCAAATACAAGATAATATTCTTTTATATAATAACATATATCTAATAATGATAAAATTAATCTAGTTAATAACTTAATTTACATATTTCTATCACACGATTCGTTATAATTTATTAACGATCATTGATAAATATCTAAGCAGATAGTCATTTAGATATGAAAATAAAATATGTTTGCGGAAATACATAAACAACCATTGTAAAAAACAAAACAAAAATTAATAAGTTCAAGATTATATTCATTACATAAATGTAAATAGGAGGACATATCTCCTTTGAACGAAAATGTGTTATAATTTAGACCGGTTTCATCTGGACATCTTAATTTCCTGGTTTGATATTTGATTTCTTGTCGGCCAGAACGAACATATTTATATAAATATGAATAGTTAGCAACTATAAATTATGATTTCATTTAACAATAAAGATAACACGGCTTACATGTACGCAAACTCTTGAACTTAAGAATTTTCTGGGTTGAAAAGAAATCGAGACTGACCTCCTCCGTTTCTGACAATGTGTTCACCTACGAAAAAAAATATAATTGTAGCATTTGACACCGTTATATACTTTGGTAGAATTTCAGATACCAAATTCAATAATAATATACATGGGGTATCTAACTTTTATAGACACCAAGTCTCCACTCAGTTAACAGAACAAAAATGTGATCAGTCTTTCTCGATTTTCAGGAATTATCGAAACAAATTGCGCAGTTATCAAACACAAAACATTTGATAACAACATCCCTAAATATAAAAGAAAACATAACAACAATGAATAATACTTATAAAAAATGAATTTGCATAACATATACAAATACATTTACTCGAGATCTCTTATATGAAATTCAAAAAAATTCTTTGGCTGGATTCTTGAAATAGAGTCAAAGTCATTGCCCATGGATATTTCACCAACAAAAGCGATCACACCAACCAAGTCTATTTAAAAAAAAATGGAAGTTAAAATAACATTATGATTCCCTAACTAATAATAGACTAAATATTATTAAGAACAATTAAATTAAATAAATCAATAAGGAAAATAAAATATTACCAATAGGAAACACATGATCCACTTTTCTCTTCACAATATCTTTGAATCTGATTAAATTTAAGAAATACCAATTAGATATCGGCTCTCGTATAAAGCCAAGCGTGGTATCTCTAGTAAGAACGATATTGTAAGGATGTTTAGTTGGGCGTTCGTTCTAATTGTTCCAATCTGAAGATCTGACCATAAAATTTCGAATTTCAAACTATTCTCCATCGTGACATTCATTCTTGAAATATTCATGGATCCAATTATGAGCAGACGCATGAATTTTACAGCCCTATAAAACAACAGATTGTAAAATTCAAAAACTATTAGGGCAAAAAATTTTACGGACATCACCAAAAATTCTTCTAGCATAAAATATTAACGTATTTACCTCTTCGTCGGCAAATATGAATTCAACATGATCCCGAACACTGCTGTCTTTCTCAATCCATTTCTTGTAAATAACTACATGTATCACCGAATTTTCTTCCCATGGTGTGAGCTGACTAACTAAGTCATGATAAGACATAATTCGAGAAGTTCGTGTTTTGATAATTTTTTGTTTTGTTTAGCAATAGTCTCTGAAAATGACGAAATTATAATGAATTATGTTCACAATTGTATAAATAGAATACAAAGAAAATGGAACCGTCGTCAAAAATGAAAAGGAGCACTTCTTCGAATTAATTTCAGCACAGGTTTGGTTTTCTTGTTAATTGTTGATATGCAAATATAGACAATTGGCGCGCCAGGTAGGGGCACTTAAACAGATTACTCAAGTTTTAGATCGGACTTCGGAAAGATTGAATCAGCGATGGCAGACCAAGCCAACATTCACAAAGAAGGAAACCCTCTCGGTGGAGACAACGCTAACGCCCCAACAGAACAAGGAGGAGGAACTCCTGGAGAAAGCACTGGAACTGTAGCCGGCCAAACCCCCGCAGCCGTAGGAGGTTATGGAACCGAACTACTGCTCCAAGTGTTCAATGCCCAGTTTGAGGCCATCAACAAAAGAAGCGAGGAGCGCTTCAGTCAGATGGCGGCACAGATCGCCGAGCTCAGTCAAGCACGAACTCCTCTTCGAGTTCGGAACATCATAGACGATCTTAATACTGACGGAGATCCAGCCGGAACTATGAGGTCTGCCGTAGTCGGGTCAGCGAATGCACCAGCGTCGGATTTAAGCCGAGACGCCGAGTTCGAAGCAATGAAGGCACAGCTTCGCGATATCACCTCAAAAATACACCAAGCCACGAGCGCGGCTCCAGAAATCGAGCGCGTCATTCAGGAGACGCAGAAGACACCCTTCACACCGCGCGTAGCAGGGACGCCGGTCAAACACATGGAGAAACTAAAGATAAAAATCTACGAAGGCAACTCTGACCCCCAACACTTTTTGACATCGTTCGGCATCTGCATGAACCGATACCAATTCAAGTCCGCCGAAGAAAGAGACGCGGTTCAGTGCCAACTGTTTGTGGAAAGTCTGGGAGGAGTAGCCCTCGACTGGTTCTCGTCACGAAGAATGCAGACATCTGCGAGAATACCTACTCGGCCTATATCGAAAGGAACCAATCTCGGTCGATGATCTCCGACGTTCGAACGTGTCTAAGAGCGGCGGGCAACTTTCAATTGACGATCTCCGTCGTTCACATATGCCTCAACCAAACAATGAATAGCTTGAGAAAGCACTCGCCAAAGATCCACCAACTCCACCGGCTTTACCGACACTACCACCGCCACCACCGAATCCACCTGTTTTGCCCGAGCAACAGAAATGGAATCGTGATGACCGAGCGCCAGAGAATCACGCTCCTAAGGCGCGGAAACGCATCAACATGATAATGGGGTCCATCGAAGCTTGCAGTTATTCGGTCCGAGCCATCAAAGAGTACAGCAGACAGGCCGCCAGCGCGCCCAAAGCCCCGCATGATCCGCCGAAGGGAACGCCCTTGGTATTTACCGAGGCCGATACAATCGGGCTGCATAAACCACATAATGACGCTCTCGTTGTCGAGCTGCTCCTCGACGACGTCGAAGTTAGCCGCATTCTGGTCGATACGGGCAGCTCGGTTAACGTTATCTTCAAGGAAGCACTTGACCAACTCGAGTTGGCATCAGATAGGATTGAACCGTTTATCGAACCACTTACCGGATTCGATGGAGAACGTTGTATGACGGTCGGCATGGTCAACATTCCGATCTACGTCGGCGGAGTCGCAAAGATTATCCAGTTCCTTATCCTTGAAAAACCGGCGATCTACAACGCTATTCTCGGAACACCTTGGCTACACGCAATGAAAGCAGTCGCCTCGACGTACCATCAATGCCTAAAGTTCCCGACTCCCGACGGTGTTTACACTCTCCGAGGAAACCAAGCCGTTGCTCGATCGTGCTACATAAACGAGTGCAGACTTCATTCGGCCAACCAAGTCGTTAGGACCGACTGACAAGCTCATCGTCTAGAATACAAAACCTAAACAGGAGTCGATCGTTCAAGTTTGCATCGACGAACTAAGGCCAGAACGTCAAGTCGGAATCGGCGCCGAGCTCGACCCAGTCATCCGCGAGCCACTCATTCACTTTCTGAAACAGCATTCATCGACCTTCGCTTGGTCGGCAGAAGATATGCCCGGGATTGATCCACATATCGCGTGTCACGAGCTCAACATTGATCCAACGTATAAGCCAATCAAGCAGAAACGCCGAAAGCTCGGACCAGAGAAAGCACAAGCCGTGAACAATGAGGTCGAGCGTTTACTCAAAGCCGGATCCATCACCGAAGTCAAATACCCAGATTGGTTAGCAAACCCCGTGGTCGTAAACAAGAAGAATGGTAAATGGAGGATCTGCGTCGATTTTACCGACCTCAATAAGGCGTGTCCGAAAGATAGCTTTCCGTTACCTCATATCGATCGCCTCGTGGAAGCAACTGCCGGGAACGAACTACTCTCGTTTATGGACGCGTTCTCCGGGTACAATCAGATTCTAATGCACCCGCAAGATCGGGAGAAGACATCGTTCACCACGGATCGTGGCATATACTGCTACAAGGTCATGCCCTTTGGCCTGAAAAATGCTGGAGCAACGTATCAACGACTGGTAAACCGGATGTCCGTGAGTCAGCTCGGGCAAACTATGGAAGTTTACATCGATGATATGCTCGTAAAGTCACTCGTCGCCTCCGATCACGTCGGCCATCTTCGCACATGTTTTGATATCTTGGATCAGTATGGTATGAAGCTAAATCCAACTAAGTGTACGTTCGGCGTGACATCCGGAGAGTTCCTCGGATACATTGTTACACGGCAAGGCATTGAAGCTAATCCAAAGCAGATCGCCGCTATTCTCGAGCTTCCGTCACCAACAACCAAACGTGAAGTTCAGCGACTTACCGGACGGATCGCAGCACTTAATCGATTCATATCCAGATCGACGGATAAGTGCTTACCTTTCTACCAACTTTTTCGCGGTAACAAGCATCTCGAATGGAATGAGAAGTGTGAGGAAGCCTTCGCCGAGCTAAAGAAATACTTGTCCACTCCTCCAGTTTTATCCAAACCAGAAACCGGCGAGACACATTATCTTTACATCGCGATTTCAGAATTCGCAGTCAGCAGTGTTCTCGTTCGAGAAGATCGCGGCGAACAGAAGCCAATTTTCTACACAAGCAAGTCCCTTGATGGATCGGAGTATCGCTATCCGACTTTGGAGAAATTCGCCTTTGCCGTGGTCATTTCAGCACGGAAGCTACGCCCGTACTTCCAGTCTCACGCGATCGTGGTCCTAACCGATTACCCTCTTCGTACTTTCCTTCATAGCCCAAGTCAGTCCGGACGACTCGCTAAGTGGGCTATCGAACTCAGTGAATATGACATCGAATACCGCGGCAGAACAGCAACGAAGTCTCAAGTCCTAGCAGATTTCTTGGTCGAACTCCCACCGGAGCTCGTCGAAGATAAGCCGGTCGTACAACCCTGGATTCTTCACGCCGATGGTTCATCGTCCCATAAAGGATCCGGAGTCGGAATTCGTCTAAAATCACCCGAAGGAGAAGTTATCGAGCAGTCGTTTCGTCTCGGCTTCCCAGCATCCAACAACGAAGCCGAGTACGAAGCATTGATTGCCGGACTACGACTCGCCAAAGGCATCGGCGCCGAGCACGTACACGCCTTCTGCGACTCTCAACTCGTGGCTAACCAGTTTCACGGCGAATACGAGGCCAAGAACGACCGCATGGACGCATACCTCAAAGTCCTTAAGGATGTCGCTTCGGAGTTCTCTACCTTCGAGCTTACAAAGATACCTCGAGATGAGAATGCAACCGCCGACGCCTTAGCCGCTCTCGCGACTAATTCCGATCCTGACCTTCGGCGAACCATCCCAATTGCGGCAATTGAGCGACCAAGTATCGAGCCCGCTCCGAACTGCAACATCATTACAAGACGACGTGACTACAAAAACCAACCCAATCTCGCCCCACCACTCACCCGGAAGACGAAACCCAAAGAGGTCATTCCCGATCACGACAACGATACGGACGAGCTCAATGGTAATGAATCCGATCCCGAAGACGAATCTGAAGGACAACACGTTCCAATCGATATCGAAGCCGAAGGCGAGGACGTACCCGAAGATTGGACCTTAGAAATCGTGGGATACATCGGAGACGGAACAGTTCATGTGGATAAATGGGCAGCTCGGCGCCTTAAGGCTCGCGCAGCTCGATATGTGGTCATTAAAGGTACTCTTCTCAGATGGGATGCTTCCGGTGTACTTTTGACTTGTGTTCACGGCAACGACATCATGGAAGTAATGCAGAAGGTTCACGAAGGAGAAGGAGGCAATCACTCCGGAGCTCGGTCTTTGGCATTCAAGATCAAAAAAGCTGGCTATTATTGGCCCACTATGCTCTCTGATTGCGAGAAGTATACGGCACGCTGCGAGAAGTGCCAACGTCATGGTCCGATGATCAATCTTCCTACCGAGCTCCTGATGACCTCGACCGCACCATATCCTTTCATGCGCTGGGCAATGGACATCATCAGTCCCTTTCGCCGATCTACAACCCAAAAGCAGTATGTTCTGGTCGTCACGGATTACTTCACCAAATGGGTCGAAGCCAAAGCATACCCCGAGATCCATGGAATTGATGTCAAGAAGTTCGTCTGGAAGTTCATCATCTGCCGACACGGAGTCCCGTACGAGATCGTTACGGACAACGGAACCCAGTTCACTTCGATCATTTTCCAAGATTTTTGCGCCAAGTGGAAAATCCGACTAAGTTTCTCTACCCCGCCGTACCCGCAAGGAAACGGACAAGCCGAAGCCACAAACAAGACCATCATTGACGGACTAAAGAAACGACTCGATACCGCTAAGGGAACCTGGGCGGACGAACTTGACGGCGTCTTGTGGTCTCACCGAACTACACCATGACGTTCAACAGGTCAATCACCATTCTTCCTTGCATATGGCGCAGAAGCTATGTGTCCAGCCGAACTCAACGTCCCAAGTATTCGCCGAACTATGCTTACCCAGCAACCCGACGCGAATAACAACATGATGATCGACGCACTCGACTTAGTCGAAGAACATCGCGAACGAGCATTGCTCCGGATACAGAACTACCAACAGCTTGCAGCTCGCTACTACAACAAAAAAGTTAAGGGCCGTCACTTTGAAGATGGCGACCTCGTACTTCGCAAAGTCTATCAAAACACAGAAGAGAAGAACGCAGGAAAACTTGGCGCGAATTGGGAAGGACCGTATCAGGTTATGAAAGTCGTTAAACCCGGTGTTTATCAACTTATGAAGTTAGACAGGACTCCGATCCCGCGATCTTGGAACTCAATGTATCTTAAATGATACTACTACTAGTTCGTTCCGATCAAAAAAAAAAAAAAAAAAAAAAAAAAAAAAAAAAAAGCCTCCGAACTACTTAGTCGGAGCAAAAAACACTTTTGTACTTAGAACTACGAATGGCTTGATCCCTTCAAAGGGTACGTAGGCAGCTCGTTACCGAGTCCAGCTATAACATCAATAAAATTTTATTAAGTCAAATATGTCTAAGTTTTAGTTCGGAAATCACAAGGGACCGAACTCCTTGTTTCTACATCGACTTCCTGGCCAGTTGTTCGATAGCATTCCACATGAATGCAAACTTAAAAGCCGAGATCCGTCTCGCAAGCACCCACATGGTGTCGTGGTTAAGCCACATTTCAAAAGCCGGGCCCAGTCCCGCAATTGAATTTCTAAGTCACCAAGAACAATAAGCCGAGCACATCTCGCATACTTAGGTTCGACTTAGAAAAACCTTGAACTCGTTTCGTGCGTTTACAGGAGTTCGAACTAGTTCACTCTTCCAGTACGAAATGATTCACTTGGGTTCCCTAGGCCGAGCTTAAACGTTCGCACAATAAGCCGAACTCCTCAGATTCGCATCATAAGCCGAGTTCACAACACTCGCAAAACGTAAGCCGAATTATCGTAATTCGCCATCAAAAGATAAAATTTATGTTCGAACCTACTATATGCCGATCTAGTACTTGAGCACTAATCGCAAGACATTACCGAAAAAATAAAGTCAAAATTAAAGATAAATTGCCGACCTATTACTTAAAGATTTTTCCCAAGTCATCAAGACACGAAAGAAAGGGAACAAGCATGTAAATTAAAAGCCCCCCCCCCCCCCGAGGGGCAAATAAGTTCAAAAGCCCACCAAGGGAATAAAGTATTACAAGCAGAATAGCCCATGAAAGGGCAATGAGTTCGAAAATAAAAAAAAAAGAGAAAAAGATTAGGCGGTCTTCGAAGTAGCATTGAGTATGTCTTCGTTTGAGCCGAACTGCTCGCCTACCACTGGATCCTGAGCGCTTTGGGTCACCTTAACAGCCGGCGCATCATCCTCTTCCGGGAAGGGAGACATCCGTTTGTCCTCCTCCGTGAGAACGCAAGCATCGATCGAGCGGAACTCTTGCAACGCCTTATCGTGCTTTGCCTGGATGTCAACTACCATCTCGACCGGGACCTCGTATAAGCCCTTCTTCTTTAGCTGTTTGATGAATTCGAGCACTCCCGTAAGCTGGTTGACAACTAAGTACGGCTTCCGAGCCCTGTCAGCATCATCCAAACTCCGGATGACCTTCTCCAGGCGTTCGCAAGCCGTCGCGTGAACGCTCCTGGCTCGGTTCTTCCAGTGAGCCACCAACTCTTGCAGCCGATCCTTGTCTTTCTCAAACTCCCGAGCAAGTATTTTCTGGGCCTCGGTCAGCTCTTGTTTCACCGCCTTTAGCTCAGCACTCTCTTGCTTCAGCAAATCAACCGAAGAGTGGAGAGTCTCGTTGATTTGTAGCTCGGTGGCGAGGCGCTCCTCAGCTTTGGCGACTCTTTCCTCGAGCTCGGAGACCCTTACTTGCTCATCAAAAAGAGCTACCTCGTACGCGGCAACCAGATTGTTGGTCTGGCTGGCGAGCTGCGTAAAAGAAAATCTAATCAGAACTCGCACTTGGAAAATTGTTGGATAGAGAAATGAAATCAAGAAATTACCACAGTAGTTGTACGGGCAATTCCCTTGTACATGTTCGGGAACCGGAGCTCGGGGACTGAAGGAAGACTTGGGACCTCTGATGAGATCTTGTGATAGAGCTCGGCGCAAGCATCTATGTTCTCCTCGAAAGGAGTCTCCTCGTCATAATCAAAACAGACTCGGGCCCTCTTAGCCGGCTCGGGCTCTGGAGAACCCTCAACATGATCCCTAGTTTGCCTCTTACGGGAATGAGAAGCTTCACCTCGGTCTTGAGAAAGAGTGAGGTCCGACGCCACAGCCGCCGGTGGATCGAGCTCGGGGGGTACATCTTGCACCCGAGAAGAATCTCCCGTCTTCTTAGTCTTCTTCGAAGACTTCTTCTTCTTCACTCTCTTCTGACCGGCTTGGTCAGGTGAGTTCGCAGCAGGTGGCAAATCTTCCGGCTGCTCATTGGTCCCTTCGGTAGCAAGGACTGGGGTCGGATCAGCCACATCCGGTTCCTCCTCGTCAAAGAGAGTTGGGATCTCATCCAAGGAAAGCATCCTAGCAGTGCGAGTTCGTTTAACCTGTGGTTTTGGAGCTTTGCGTCTTGGAGCAGCTCGGGGCTTGTTAGCTCGAGCTTTTGGCTTGCGCGGTTTTGGTTCTCGGACGGAACCTGAAAGGAAAATATGTCAAGGAGGAGTTCGGGATAAATTCAAAATCAAAGAAGTAAAAAGAAGGAACTCTAAGAGACAAACCTGCTTTCTTAGCTCGACGATCAAGAATTTCCTCCCAAACTTCAGGCCAGCGACGCTTGCCGGCTTCGCTGAAAGCTGCTTCGAATTCGGAGGTGAGCCCGGAATTGAGGATGAGACTTGGGAGATGACGACCTGCGAAGAACCGAGAAAGAGTTAGTCAAATACAAAAGTGAAAACTTAATAAAGTACAAGTTCGTCTAGAGCTACCAATCGGAATCTTCCACTCCGATTGAGTTGGGATGTCAGAGTTGCTGACAGTGAGATCGTTCATCTCGAGGAAAAAGTATAAAGATTCCCAGTCATTGAATTTACTGGGTTTGGGACCGGTCACTATGTTCTTCTTCGGCTTAGCATTAGCGGCGAAGAACCATTCCTTGGACTTGTGGATGTTCACCGAGAAAAGATCCTCGAACAATCGACTGGAAGGAAGTTGGCCGAGTTCGTCGCACAAAGTAACAAACCCCACGTAGTTCGTTACTGAGGCTGGCATCACCTGTGAGAGAGCTACTCCACGACGATTACAATACCCGAGAAGACGAGAGGGGATTGGAAGTGTGAGCCCGCATTGCGTGAAATAAGGTAGATAGACGCAGAGAAAGCCTTCGGGCACGTCCCACGGTCGATCCCTAGCCTGAGGATTATGAAGGCAATCTGGTCCAAGAGCCCATTTTCCTCGAGCACGGCCCGGATAGCGCCTGACGCAACCGAGGAGGATGGTACGTTGTTGGGGCGAACGACCCTTCGTCTCGGAAGAGGCGGTGAAGCATGGTTCACCGCTTCAAGGTTGTCCTCGGCGATTTCTGCTTCATTGGCGTCAGCTTCCTGACCCTCTCCTTCAGGTTCTTCGACCTCCTCGATCTCGTGGTCGATACTGCCAGCGTTCGGTCCAACGCGAGCTCCTGTTTCGCGAGTTTCTGCTGTCAACCGTTCGGTAGCCTCGACTCTGGGTCTAGCACGGCTACTGCTCGCTTCCACTGACTTGGAGTTTTTACGAACTAACTGTGGAGGGTTGCTTTCTTCTTGAGACGAGTTCGATTGGTGAGGATTCGAAGAGGAGGAGCTCGGTTCAGAGGATTCGCGTCGATCTTCCGGAAGGATTTGATTGGAAGATGAGTTAATGGAAGAACTGGAAGACATTTTGAGTTCGGAAGAACAGATTTAAAGGAGACCTAAGAAGAATGAAGAACAGCTTGAAAATCAACCGGAAAAGATTGAAGATTGATCGGAAAGTTTGAAGATCGAACGGAAAGTTTGAAGATAGCTCGGAAAAATCAAGGGTTCGCGGCGGCGAGCGTTGAAGAAACGAGAGAAAACTAAGAACAAAAACTAGAGAGCGAAATGAAATCTAGAGAGAAGGGAGAGCAGCGTACCTTATATATGCTTGAGGCGAGAATAATGAATGCGAGAAGAAGTTTTCCCTTTATACACAGTGGGAATCGTGGGTTCCTCGATTTTCGCAAGAATCCCGTAATTCACGCGCCTCATTGAAGACGGGCGCGAAACGTCCGGAAATGTGAATCGACAGCAGTTACCGAGCTCGGTTTGTGATTCAATAACCGAAGAAATAAGTTCGACTGAAAGTCACCTCCTTTCACCGAACTGAGGGGGGGGGGCTAACTGTTGGAGGTGAAAACCGCACCCCGGTTTTCTCCGGTACAAACCGAGATCAGCAAACCATAAGCCCGGTTTACGAAGGAACGTACCGAGAAAAGATGGGCCGAGCGGAGGCTGGTCGAATACGGCCCATTAGGCCAAGGTCGGTGAGAAACCTCTCGAAGGAATAGAGGGTTTCCCTGAGCTCGGTCAAAACAGGAAAGTTTCCTGATGGAAAAAAGAAAACTTTGGAGAGAAAAGGAAAGGAACTGAGAGAAAAGGAAACTCCTCTCGGTCCCATATCGTCTAAGGCGTGCTCGAGGACCGACTTAGGAGATATATATAAAGGGAGATGAATCGACATCAGAGAACAGAGGATATTCCCAAGAAGACTTAAAGACTGAGAGCTCAATACGCTAGTTTCTTAGTCGTCTTAAGTCTTAGTTCGTTATTATTTATCTGAAACCGAACTCAGTTGTATTTTGCTTGATTCAATCCAATAAAAACCGAGTTTCCGATCTAAAAAGTACTGTTTTGTCCCTTGTCGATATTTGCATATCAACATTAATAAAAAAAATAAT